AGTTGCCACGGCCCATAGTCTTTGCACTATCCAGTGCGTCCAACTGTTTCTTGATATCATGGAAGTGAATTGAATTGGCTGAAGACTGGTCTTTGTGATGCAGGGGATCATTGAGGAGGCTGAGATGAATCATCCACTCTGCGAATGCTCAGCCTTATCCACTGATATGCAAGGCTCCTCCATCATTGAGGATAGTGATATTTATGGATCTGACCTCTCCAGTGAATTGTTTAATTGTCCACTGCAGAGCTTCGATCTGATCTTTTGGTTGTGGGATTGCTTAGCTAAATCTATCACCTTCTGCTTATGCTGTTTGGCATACAAATAGTCCTGCTTGGTAGCTTCACCAGGTTGATACCTCATTTTTAGCAGCCTGATGCTGCTTCTGGCATGCCCTCCTGCATTTTCCAGAGTTGAACCAAGGTTGATACCCTGGCATGATGGTAATGGCTGAGTGGGTATCTGCTGGGTCATGAGTTTGCAGATTGTGCTGGAGTACAATTCTGCTGCTGCTCATGGCCCACAGTGCCTCATGGATGCCCACTCTTGAGTTTATAGATCTGTTCAAAGTCTGTCCCATTTAGCTAGTTGATAGTGCCAGACAACATGATGGAGTCTCACTTCATTTTCATAAGTAATGTGCTGTGGTTACTCTTATTAATAATGTTATGGACAGCCGCATATATAGCCAACATATTGGTCAGGATGAGGTCAAGTTTGTTTTTCCCTTTTGTTGGTTCCCTCATCACCTGCCGCAGACCCAGTCTATCAGCTATATTCTTTAGGACCTGACCAGCTCAATCAGTAATGCTGCTGCTGAGCCACTCTTGGTGGTAGTTCTTGAAATCCCTCACCCTTGGTGCATTTTGCACACTTGCCACACCCGTGCTTTCTCCAAGTTTTGTTCAACGTGGAGGAGTACCTATTCATCAGCCAAAAGAGTACGGTATGTTGTAATTAGCAGGAGGTTTCCATGCCTATGTTTAATCTGAAGCCATGAGACTTCGTTGGATCTGGAGTTAGTGTTGAGGACTCCCAGGACAAATCTGTCTCAACTATATATCACTATGCTGCCATCTGTGCTGGGTGTGTCCTGCTCGTGGAGTCATATGTTACAGGAAATATCAAGCTGCTGCTCGTCTAGTCTGAGAGACAGCTGTCCCAATTTTGGCACTAGGCAACAATGTTAGTAAGGAGGACTTCCTATGGACATTCTGAACGATCTGTAGAGATCCCAGAGGAAAACTAAAAATGCCTGGTGACAATTGTTTATCCCATGTGACCCATCTATCGATACAAGGTTCCAGATTACTTTCAGGCTGAAACTTTATAATTTTTTTTATTCTCTGAGATTTAACCAGTATTTTGGCCAAAGTGTTTTTTCCTGCCAAGGTAAATCTTTGCAGATAATAGTTCCTTATTTTCTTGTGTATATGTGCACATGCTTGCATGTTTGGATAAATACATTGATAAATATTTATAATTTCATATTTCAAGCTGTCAGTTAGCTTTGGACCTTTGTCAAACAGGTCTTATTATAATAAATCAATAATTCTATTGCTTAAGAAACCTGGATGATGGATCATTTTATTCTGAACCTAATATAGATAAAAAGTATATTATTGGCTGAAATCATAACTGGGAAATGTTTCAATTTGTGTTGTGACCATTGATGTAATGGGACTAGAAAGAAACAAGCAGTCCTCTAACCTTGGTCATAACGATTAATTTAAATTGTCCTTCTGTGCTTAATAGCCGTGTGTCTTTAGAAACCATAAAACAAGAATAACAGGACACTGAAATATGTCATGTCAATTATTATCCATTTCTAGTCTGAGGGTCGTTGAAATGTAAAACAGAAAAACCATAGTGCACAGACGGTACAAGTAGCAAGTCTGCATACAGGGCTTATAGATATTGTTGATCTGTTTTCAAAAGAGTGATGGAAATGTCCTTCTAGCACTGAGGCTTCGAAGACCAGCATCATACAGCTCATTTTAAAACAATCCTTTTGAATTAATGATTAAGATCAGCTTTGAACGGTTTAACATATTAAAAGGTGATGGTCTAGCACATAACAACTTTCATATTTTTGCATTCCTTTTGGTGAAATGTATCAATATACACTTTTACTGTAATATTCCAAAACTCCCTGGTCCACCATTATAGAGTATAAGAAAAATGAAGCTATTTGTGCTCTGTACCAAACTGCAACCCTGAGCTTGCACTGCAGCCAAACTTGCGCTGAATTTCACTGGAACACTGCAGCAACCCTGAGGCAGAGATGTTGGCCTGGGAACAGGGTGGTGTGTTAAAGTAGCAGGCAACTGGAAGTTCAGGGTCTTTTTTGTGGGCAGAAAGTAGATGTTCATGAAGCAGTCACCCAGTCTACGCTTCATTTCGCCCATGTAGGGGAGAACACATTGTGAGTAGCGAAAGCAATAGTCTAGATTGTGGGAAGTTACGTTTGGGCCCTTGGATACTGGATAGGGAGGAGGTAAATCAGCAGGTGTTACACCTTCGGCGGTTGCAGGGGAAGGTGCCGTGAAGATGTGGGAGTTGTTGGGAGTGAAGGAAGAGTGGACGAGGGTGTCCCAGAGGGAACAGTCCCTGCGGAGGGCGGACAAGGGAGAGGAGAGGATTATGTGTCTGGTTGTGGCATTTTGCTACAGGTGGCAGAAATGATGGCTGATGATCTTCTGAATGTGGATGCTGGTGGGGTGCTAGGTGAGGACAAGGGGAACGCTATCGCTGTTGCAGGAGGGAAGAGAGGGAGTGAGGGCGGAAGTGCAGGAGATGGGTCTGACCTGGTTAAGGGCCCCGTCGACAACAGTGGTGGAGAGTCTTTGGTTAAGGAAGAAGGTGGACATTTCGGAGGCTCCCTTGTCAAATTTGGCTTCATTCAAACATTTACAACGGAGACGGAGGAACTGAGAGAGTGGAATGGAGTCTTTGCGGGAAGCAGGGTGAAAGGATGTATCGCCCAGGTAGCTGTGGGAGTCAGTGGGTTTATAGTGGATATTAGTGGCCAATCTATCCCCAGAAATGGAAACAGAGATGTTGAGGAAGGGAAGGGAGAAGTCCAAGACAGACCAGGTGAAAGTGAGGGCTGGGTGGAAATCGGAAGTGAAATTGATTAATTTTTCCAATTCCAGACTCTCCCATGTCCTAGCCCCCTACCTCTCACACCTGGACTTGTTATCATGTAGCCTCCATTACACACTATCTATTCTTAGCCACTCACAGTCTCCATTAACAGCTATTTACCCTCCGAGCCAGATTGTTATCAACTTCTTTGTCTGTCCAACTGTTCTTCTTTCTACTTGGGCTGTGTCCCCACCTATCATTTACTCCTCATCCCCTCCCACCCACCCTATCTTCTGCATATAAACTGACACTTTCCTAGCTACCATCAGTTCTGAGGAAGGGGCACCAGACCTGAAACGTTAACTCTGATTTTTCTTCACAGATTCTGCAAATCCTGCTGAGCTTTTCCAGCAACTTCTGTTTTTGTTCCTGATTTACAGCATCCACAGTTCTTTTGGTTTTTTGATAGAATATGAGCTCCCTGATTGGTGCTGTTAATTTGACATATAAAAATGTTGAGTGTCAGAGATACTGGCTCTATCTTTGGAAAATGCGCCAAGTGGAGCGTACAAGTTGCAGGATAGTCCAATAGAAGTGGATACTTTCGCCAGTCTGACTAAGCTTGGGGAGCACTACTTGCGTGCAGGCAATTGCTTAGCTTCACACAGGCCACATCCTGATCAGAGGAACTGTAAGTCAGCCCTCAACAATGCCCCAAAACAAAGCCAAACTCAGCCAAATGGTTAAGATTTTCTTCAGGATCCTGGCCAGCAGGCCTTTGTAGTTTTTCCCACGGCAGATACAAGGCAGCTAAAGAGTCCTACTCAACTATCTACGTTGAGTAAGGTAGCTCATAGACCAGTATCCAGGAGAGTTTGTACCCTGGAATGACCACCTACATCTGATTTAGAACAGTTGAATTGCTTGGCAATATCAAAATCAGATCCAGTCAAGAAAAATGTCTGGTTAAATGGTCATCCAGTTCTAGAGGAAATTGACACTGGTGCAGCTATATTAATGTTCACAGAAGCTGTTTCTAATAAAATTCATTCTGAACTCCAGGCCTTCACTTTGCACAAGACTTCAGCTAGGCTGAAAATCTATACCAGGGAACCTTTACAAATTCAATCTGGTGTCTTATAAAAAGCAGCTGGTTCGGTGACCAGTGATTGTAGTAAAAAGCTTGGGCCCAAGCTTAATGAGGCAAAATCGGTTGCAAGAGATTCACCTAGATTGGCTCAACAGTTGTCAATTTAAAAAATGACTGCCTGAGTGAAGTCCTGATTAAATACCTGGACATATTCCAGGTCAAAAATCACACAACATCAGGTTATAGTCCAGCAGGTTTATTTGAAAACACAAGCTTTCGGATATGCCCTTGAGGAAGAAGCTGAGGTCCAAAAGCTTGCATATTCAAATAAATCAGTTGGACCGTAACCTAGAGTCGTGTGATTTTTGAGCTTGTCCACCCCACTACAACACTGGCATCTCTACATCATGGCAAACATAGTCCGTTGACCTTCCTGGAATATCAGAGGAGCCAAGATAACTTTGCATTTTGACCAGGAAGCAATTCCGCGATTCTGCAACGCCTGGTCACTGCCATTTGGAATTAGAATTAGAATTAGCCTTTATTGTCACATGTCTCACTATATTCATTGAGTATAGTGAGACATTTATATATCACCATTTACAGCTCTGACTAAGGTCCAAAAGTACCTAAGCACAGGTTCTTTAGTTACAAGATCATTAGACAATAGAGAGATAAAATGTCTAGCATTGCAGAAGTAAAAGTTCAGAACCACAGGTCACGCTGGCACCTGGCTTCCAGTCTGCGACAGGCTTCATCTTGTTGCTGAGAAATCACTTCAGACTGCCATGCTGGACCGGCGAAGCCATGCTAGGAGGCCGCTATGCCAGGCCGGTGGGTTGCCACGCCATGCCAGGAGGTCTGTATGGGAGGAGGCGGCTGCACCAGGCCTGGTGGTCGCCATGCCATGACGGGAGTCCGCTGCAGAAGGTTGCCACTTCACACTGGGAGGCCGCTACGGGAGGAAGCCGTTGCAACTGGCTGGCAGATCACCAAGCCACACTGGGGGGCCGCTGCACCAGGCCGAAAGTCGTCACCAGGAATCATCATCGGCGGCCAGGAGTTGTCAGAGGCTGTGAAAGAAGAAGGAAGAAAAAGCACTCAGAAGAAGAAAAGAAGAAGAACAGGCAGAGCGGATGAGCTGCAGCTGGAGCGTCCTACTCCACCGGCACCTTGGAAAGTTTTACAGGCAAAAGTAGAGGCACAAATCAGAAGGCTGGAAAGTGAAGGAATTACCAAACCAGTCCAATTCGTGGAATGGGCAGCACAACACCGGTCATACTGATTTTTGAAGCCTGATGGGTCAGTTTGCCATTTAAACAAACAGTGAACTTTTTCTCGCAGCTGGATAAATATTCCACCCCTCGGATAAAGGATTCATATGCAAAGCTGGCAGGGGGGCTGTCATTCATGAAGCTGGTCATAAGCCACACTTACTTGCAATTGTGTTTAGTCGAGGATTCCCAGAAGTCTGCTACAATTAGTACCCATAAGGGCTAATACCAATATATGAGACTGCCATCTGAGATATTATCAGCCTGTGCCATTTTGCAGCGGACAATGGAGAACGTGTTGCAAGGTCTACTTCAAGTGATAATTTATCTGATTAGGTAAAACTAATAAGGAACTTGTATATAGTCCTAAGGTGTTGTTCCAAGTCAGGCATACGTATAAGAAGGGGAAAATGTGTGTTCCAGTTCCCCCAGGTGACCTAATTAGAGTCATAGAGATATGCAGCATGGAAACGGACCCTTCGGTCCAACTCATCCATGCAGACCAGATATCCTAAATAAATCTAGTCCCATTTGCCAGGATTTGGCCCATATCCCTCTAAAACCTTCCTATTCATGTACCCATTGGATGCCTTTTAAATGCTGTAATTATATTAGCCTCCACCACTTCTTCTGTCAGTTCATTCCATATGCGTGACACCCTCTGTGTGAAAAGGTTGCCCCTTTTAAATCTTTCCCGTCTCATCTTAAATCCATGGCCTTTAGTTTTGAACATCTCCACACTGGGGAAAAGCCCTTATCTATTTACCCTATCCATGCCCCTCTGATGCCCCAGGGAAAATAGCCCCAGTCTATTCAGCCTCATCCTTTTGCTCAAACCCTCCAGCCCTGGCAACATCTTTGTCAATCTTTTCTGAATCCTTTCAAGTTTCACAGCATCCTTCCTATAGCAGGTAGACCAGAATTGCATGCAGTATTCCAAAAGTGGCCTAACCAATGTACTGTACACCTGCATCATGACCTCCCAACTCCTATATTCAATGCACTGTCCAATAAAAGCAAGCATAACAAATGCTTTCTTCACTATCCTATCTACTTGGGACTCCACTTTCAAGCAACTATGAACCGGCACTCCAAGGTCTCTTTGTTCAGCAACACACCCAAGGACCTTACCATTAAGTTTATAAGTATTGCCCTGATCCGTCTTTCCAAAATGCAGCCACACCTCACATTTATTTAAATTAAACTCCATTTGCCACTCCTCAGCTTGGGCTACAGAGTCAACAAGAATGGGTTACCTCCATTGGAAGATACAAGTGACTGCAAGCAAAGGTGCCTCGGTTCCCACATCTGTCCAGGAGCTCAGGTCATTTCTAGAGCTGGTAAATAACTATGGAAAAATCATCCATAACCTGACATTCATCCTGGCACATTTGCATCAGCTCCTACAAAAGGGTCAGCATTGGAAATGGTCGCATGGACAAGCCTAGCTTTCAATGAAGTAAAGAAACAGCAATCGTTTTCTAAGATATTGGCACACTGTGATCCCAGGAAAGATCAGGTATTGACGTGCGATGCCTCCCCATATGGCATCAGACTGGTTTTAGCTCATAGGTGGCCTAGTGGAGAGGAACGCCTGGATTATGCATCCAGGACAAAGCAGAGCATAAGTATGACCAGATAGAAAAAGAAAGATTTGCGCTCTTATTTGGAGTCAGGAAGTCCCACCAATATCTTTTTGGATGAAAATTCATGATAATCGTGGACCACAAACCCTTATTTGGTCTGCTTAAAGAGGACAAGACAGTGCCATCTAAAGCTTCAGTCTGCATTCAATGCTGTAATACTAAGTCCTTATAATTATAAGTTAGAACACCGTCAGGAGGCTGAGCAGTGTATGTGGATGCATTGAGCTGCCTTCCATTAGCAGATACACCACCAGTGTTCCCCCGAATGGAAGAATCTGTAATGATGTTACAATCTTCCAGTCACAGCTAACATTATCAGACTTTGGACATGTAAAGATATAGTCCTTTCCAAACTGAAATAACTGGTATTAATGAGGGAAATCAAAGGGCCGTCACAACTAGAATTGAAACCTTATTGGACCCAGAGAGACCAGCTCACTTCAGAGGATGACATATTGTTATGAGGAGCAAGAGTGATTGTCTCGAGCAAAGGTTGCCATCAAATACTGGCTGAATTCCAGGGCCATCCAGGAGTCTCCAAAACAAAGATCTTGGCAAGAAGAGATAGTAGGAACTGCAGATGCTGGAGAATCTGAGATAACAAAGTGTAGAGCTGGATGAACACAGCAGGCCAAGCAGCATCAGAGGAGCAGGAAAGCTGACGTTTCGGGCCTAGACCCTTCTTCAGAAATCTTCA